GTTTGGTTGACAGCTGTAACGGACGAGACTAAAGAAATGGAAGCTGATGAACTGTTCGAGAGTACAACGTCAAGCAGGCTGAAAGTAATCGACATCCTCAAAGGCCAGCAGGAAGATCCAACGATCAAACGTGTTCTACAGTTTTGTAAGCTGTGTCAAAAGCCGAAAGTAACTGATCAACGCCGAGAACCGCCCCAAGTACGGAAGTTCTTAAATAAATGGAAACATTTACACATTGATAAGAAGACCGGTTTGCTGTATCATAATCAACAGCTGGTCCTGCCTCAGAAATTCAAACGGTTGGTTTACCGCGAATTACATGAAGAAATGGGACATTTGGGGGTAGAAAGAGTGTTAGCCCTTGCTCGAGAAAGATTCTTTTGGCTTAATATGAGGAAAGATATCGAACATTTCGTACAGCGGACATGCCGATGCATAAAGCAAAAACAACCGAGTCGTCACACCGTGGCACCCTTAAACCCGATCGTTACAACAGCGCCCTTTCAGATGATATCAATCGATTTTATGCACCTAGAACAGAGTTCAGGTGGATACCAATACATACTCGTAGTAGTTGATCATTTCACCAAATTCGCCCAAACATACCCTACCAGAAATAAAAAGGGAAAAACTGTCGCAGATATTATCTTTAATGATTTTGTCCAGCGGTTCGGATTTCCGGAAAAAATACACCACGACATGGGCGGAGAATTTGAGAATGAGTTATTCAAACGTCTGGAACAGTTGTCTGGAGTGATGCATTCACGGACAACTCCTTATCATCCCCAAGGAAACGGATTGGTTGAAAGGATGAATCGAACACTACTAGGGATGCTTCGAACTCTCCCCGAAGCTTACAAGTCTCGATGGAAAGACCACCTCAGCAAGCTGACACACGCATACAACTGCACAGTCCATGAATCGACAAACTACTTCCCGTTTTATTTGCTGTTTGGACGTAGCCCAAGATTACCGATCGATTTGATATTTGACTTACCACGAACATCCGATACGACATCACACTCGGACTATGCATCAAAATGGGAGACTGCTATGCAACAAGTCTACACACTCGCACACAAGGCGACTTCAAAGAATGCGGCGAATGGTTAGAAGAATTACGATCGACGAGTCAGGTGTTCAAGTCTTGAACCGGGAGATCGCGTGCTAGTACGCAACCTCACGCCTAGAGGAGGTCCAGGTAAACTTAGAGCATATTGGGAGGAAGCTGTACATGTTGTTGAATTGCGTAAAGGTTCGGACAGCCCAGTATATGAAGTGAAGCCAGAGTCAGGTCATGGTCGAAACCGCACACTTCATCGTAATCTCCTATTACCATGTGATTTTCTTCCGATTGAAAATTGGCCAGAAATCGAGCGGACAGTTATTAAAAGAGTTCCTCCCAGAAGTCCCATCTCAAAACCCGGCAACGAAGAAACAGACGAAGAAGAGAGCGTAGATGAAAGTGAAGATGAAATTCGTATTACTTGGAACACTGACCAAATTAATAATGCTGCAGCCGCAGACGGAGATTTCGTTGGTGAACCGAACCCAGACATTGCCGTCGATGAAGCAGATGGTGGCGACGCCACAGACGAGTCTTGGGCTGATGATGAAAACCATGAAATAACTGGAGATGAACAGGCGATAGAAAACTCTACAGACGATGCACAAGAAGAAGTACGTGATGTGCGTTCGCAACGAAACAGGCAACCGCCCCAGAGATTAACTTACCTCGACCCAGGGAACCCAGCTTACCTTAGACCCATCTGCAGCGAAGTCGTCAATCAATTTTACCCCATGTCATCACACGTACCACCTATGCCACTATACCTACCACCTATACCACCTATACCACCATACCTACCACCACCTATGACACCATACCTACCACCTATGCCACCCGTAGTACCTACTCCAAGCGAAGTACAACCCTTTGGATCAGTACCTCTAAAGTGGCTTCCTATACCTTGTCACCCGTATACGTGTCCCCCTGTGATGCCTCTGAACTGGCAAAACCCACCTTTTCCCTACCCAATCCAGTCATATTAACCGTATACCTTAGTTATTGAGTTAGAACGTTATGAGAAAAACCCTATAAAACGGTGTTACTTGGCGAAGTAAGACTCCTTGCTGAATATTAATCAGGATGGTTATTGAAGGACGGTAGTGAGATTTTGCGAGATGGGACTGATCACCCCACTCTAGGAATCATTTAAGATCCCGAACACGAAGTAGCTACTTGCATGAGCATAAGAATTATCCTGTATTAATTTGTTGAAATAGCGATTTCATTTAGAGGGGGAGAGTGTACCCCACCGGAATTAGCACCCGGAAATTAGATACCGGAACTTGATATAGTATGACGTAACGGGAAAATGCCCGGATATGAAACACATGTTGTCTTGATTTAGTTTTGAGAGTTATCGAAAAAAGCGTTGTAAAATACCGAGGAAAACGTACGAAATAAATATAAGTAATACACCGAACCAGTGTGGAAACTTAAGTAACAACTTCACTTGACGCCATGTCCTTGGGCAAGTTAAAAATTATCCTTGCCGCTCTACAATGTAATCTTTCGTACGAGAAGAGTTATCGTAAAATATATGCGGGATATTTGAAGAATAAACTTTCTGATGATTAATCATTGTACTCATGCTAGTAGAGAGTTGATTATAGGAATAAATAAGTTGAGTTGGCTTTCTTTTTGGAACATTTAATATTATGTGTAACTTGAGTAAAATAAAACAAACTGTCCTTTCCTGAACACGTCATGCAGCTAAGTACGAACTCTTGGACGTACACCCCCTGTTGACGTCATTCGCTTGAATCACTTCCGGTGGTGGATGGGGGGGGGGGGGTTATCTACTATCATTAGTGTAATTCCAAAATATTTTACCAAGATGCGAGTTTTCGTCCAGGTGAATTGGATTACTAGAATACTTCGGCTACGTCGGTAGCTACTAGTGTCGCTATCATAGATATCTTATATACACTAGATAGCGCATCTCTTTTAGTAAAATTGAAGCCAAGAATATTCCAGCGGTTACCCCCATTTGAATAGATGGCGGCCATGTTGGTCGTTCCCACTTGCTAATAACCGCTTAAAAACAACAATAACTTTCATCATTTGAATAGTTTGAAAATGTATCTGGAATAGGGTTAAATTAAGCCTGGTTCACACGATGAAATAAGCATAAGCACAAGCAGCGAACCTTTGATGTGCATAAACGTAAGCATAAGAAGAATAACGCAACATTTGTTCTTCTTATGTTTACATCAAAGGTTCCGCTTGCTTATGCTTATGCTTATGCTTATTTCATCGTGTGAACCAGGTTTTACTGTTTAAGTTCTCTGTTTAAAAAATAGAAAACATACGAATCTTCTCATTTCAAGGGAACGACCTGAGACTGCAATCACGGCTTCAATTTTTGAATTGCAGAATGATTAGATGCACTATCTAGTGTATATAAGATATCTATGGTCGCTATCTGCAGGATTTTCCTATCAGTTGCTTTTAAATTCATCCAAGCGCCACCACCACCACAGTAACGTACCTCAGCACGAACCGCGTTGTATCAGTTAGACCACAGTTGGCCCAATCTCTGAACGTCCTATATATTTTGAATATTTAACCGTTATAATATTTTAAAATAACAAAATAATTCAAAAAATATTAACAATATATGTAAAAAATATATCTCACTTGTTAATAGAATCCATTTGTTGTGTTTCTGAGTTAGTTGATGCGATTGCTTTACGTTTTCGTCGTACTTGAACGGTCGTCAGTACTATGGCACTGGACGACATGGCCGTATAGGACATAAATAACTACAAGGCTAGCCACTTATCTGATATACTCTCCGACATCGAGTCCAATATCTCGCCTCAGAATCGTCGCAGAGCAATACATTTCACATCGTCTAATAGCACGAACGTTCCTCTTGAAAAACAACTTGGTTTCTTCACCATTGCGGCAATTCCCGCGACACACGACGAACTTTGTTTGTCAAAAGTCCAAATTTCCATTTTCGAAAGAGGCGCTAACCCCATGATCGTCGCCACGAGAGCTGCTCAGCAACCTGGCCTCCTCGTTTGAAAACATTCCATCAGGGGGGGAAGCTGGACTGGAATGAGGGGGCTTTCAAAGCAACACGATAAAATACACGATATAAATGGAAATTATTACTTTATCATGCTGTATTCGACAATATTAAAACAAGTATTAAACATTTATATCGTGTGTTTTATCGTGTTGCTTTGAAAGCCCCCTCATTCCAGTCCAGCTCCTCCCCCCTGATGGAATGTTTTCAAACGAGGAGGCCAGGTTGCTGAGCCGCTTCTCGTGGCGACGATCATGGGGTTAGCGCCTCTTTCGAAAATGGAAATTTGGACTTTTGACAAACAAAGTTCGTCGTGTGTCGCGGAAATTGCCGCAATGGTGAAGAAACCAAGTTCTTTCGAAAGAAGAACGTTCGTGCTACTGGACGATGTGAAATGTATTGCTCTGCGACGATTCTGAGGCGAGATATTGGACTCGATGTCGGAGAGTATATAAGATAAGTGGCTAGCCTTGTAGTTATTTATGTCCTATACGGCCATGTCGTCCAGTGCCATAGTACTGACGACCGTTCAAGTACGACGAAAACGTAAAGCAATCGCATCAACTAGACTCAGAAACACAGCAAATGGATTCTATTAACAAGTGAGATATATTTTTTATTGTTAATATTTTTCAATTATTTTGTTATTTTAAAATATTATAACGGTTAAATATTCAAAATATATAGGACGTTCAGAGATTGGGCCGCCTGTGGTTAGACAGGGGCGGTTGTATCAATTAATCCCGAGTTGATTTGAGCGTCAATACGATTTAAAGTGCCGAAAAACAAGTTAGCTGAATTAAAAATAACGAAACGGTTTGTTAATTAAAGCGATTTGAACGCACGCGAGTTACTTATTGTTATTTTTAAAAACTAATTAAATTAACATGCATGAATCACCTGTCGGTCTTTTAAAATCAACATAAATTGACGTGAATATGATCTCCAATGGTAAATATCATTTATGCTAAGAAGCGGGATTGAAATACTTTATCGTGGAGTCGACAGCGACCTTTGGGATACTAGTCCACCAAACCCCTTATCTCTTCTGTGCACCAAACACACACAAAAAATGTCATATCTCAAAATACATTAGGGCCATTTATACGTGACAAAATAAGTCGCGACTTACATAAGACGCGACTTAAATAAGTGGGTTATCGCATAAATGGTTCTCTACGGCTTTGGTCTTATTTATTTGCTATAGCTATAATGTTGTTTTGGTTGTTTTTGTTTTAATATGCAAGGCATTAAATTTTACGCTGTTTCAAGTTTCTGGCATGCATGTGTAGTTAGACTTTTTGTCCAAAATTTCTTATTTAAGACGCGACTTAAATAAGAACAGCTAAAAGACCTGTTCTTATGTAAGACGCGTCTTACATAAGAATTTTGTACCTTTTATACCACAAACTCGCGTCTTACTTAAGTCGCGTCTTATGTAAGTCGCGTCTTATTTTGTTCCATATAAATGGCCCTAATGACGAAGGAACTATACTCGATCAGTTCTGAAATATAACCAATGCAACTCGAACCGACTTGACCTCGTAGCTCAGTTGGCAGAGCGTTGGACTAGTATCCCAAAGGTCGCGGGTTCGATTCCCACCGTGGTCAGGCAAACTTTTCAGCTTGCCCGGTGTGGATGCAGGGGCGCCGGAAGCAACATGAAGCGGCGGCGGCAGCCATTTAAAAAGGGCACGTACTCTTGAGCCTTATTTTTTTTTTTGGGGGCAATGTTCGTTAACATTTTGCTGTATAACGGATACTCATTACTTGTAGCTAAGGGACGGACCATTTGATTTTTGATGGGGGGGTGGGTAGAATCCCAAAAAAAATATCGAGCAAGCAATTCGAACTTAAAAAAAATATCGTGCAAGAATAAACGGACGAAAAAAAATATCGAGCAAGATTTTCGAGTGGTAATCCTTATTTGCCATTCGGTGCATTTCCGCGTGTAGCCCAGGGCCGTATGTAGCAACTGGAGGAGGGGGTGGGGGACTGCAGGGTCCAGGAAATGGCATTTCAGAGACTCTAAATTTAAAAATTTCCTCGGGCCTTCAGCCCTCGCTTTCAGGCCCTCCCCAATCAAAAAGAGCTTCCTACGGCCTTGTAGCCTAAATAATGGGAGGACCAGTATAATTCCAAAAATGGTTGTTCTTTATTTCTTTACTCCGACTCCTTAATGATGAACATGTACATAAAAAACTAGGTTAAACTAGGTTACTACGATTAAATCACGGCCGTAGAAAGTAAAATAGGTGAAATTTTTATGGGACACAATCAAAGGCGAGGATATAAGAGCGAGAGATTGAAATTGAGTAGGAATAGCGTACAGGGGTATGCGTTTTGACCTAACAGTTCTCTTCAGCAGGGTTTTTTAAGAGGGGGGTAGATATAATTTGAACAGGAGAAGGAAGGAGAGTTTATAGGAGTTCGGAAAACTTGTGACTGTAGGTGATTGCATCCAAATATGGTGTTGTGGTGTAGGAGCTTATAAGACAGGGATAGGGGCGTTTGGCAATTAGTGATACATAAGGGATAAAAATAATGATAATAACACCGTGCACGGTTTGTTTGAAATATATGAATATACAATAATAACAGAGATTAGTAAATGAATGATACGATATGACCAATAGATAGCTATAGCTAGTTCTGGTGTGGATTTTGCTACGTAGAGGATCCAACTGAGTTCACATTATTTTCCGAACTCCTAAACTCTCCTTTCTTCTCCTCTGCAAATTCTATATACACCGCCCCCCCTTTAAAAAACCCTGCTGAAGAAGACTGTTAGGTCGAAACGCGTGTAGGGTTGCCTTTCCTATACTCAATTTCGATCTCTCACTCTTATATCCTCACCTTTTATGGAGTCCCATAAAAAATTTACCTACTTTAGTTTCTATATATAATCGTAGTTTCCCTAGTTTTTTTACGTACATGTTCATCATAGGAGTCGGAGTAAAGAAATGAAAAACAACCATTTTTTGAATACTGGTCCTCTCATTATTTAGGCTACGATGTCTTACACCAGTACTTGTCCAATTACCTATTATATACCAAAAAATGTAAAAACAAGAAACTAAAAAATGTATATACATGCATAAAAAAAATATCGTGCAAGTCCTCTGACTGACAAAAAAAAATCGAACAGTGTCAGGAGGCGGAAAAAAAATATCGAGCAAACTGAAAATCTACCCACCCCCCCATCAAAAATCAAATGGTCCGTCCCTAATACAGTTAGACAAATTTCGGCATGGATTGGAACATTTTTATTCGTTGCATGACACTAAAGACTAAAATGTATTGTAAAGCAACATGACAGTTGTCAGTTATTTAGGAATAGGAAGGCTTTCTTTTTCCCTTTTTTCATAGGTGGAAACTGATTGGTAACGTTTCTGAGAGGAATTCAGATTCAAATATGAGCTAAATTGTTTAAAAACAGTTTTCAATTTCAATTCATGTGAAAAACGCACGACGTTCGAAGTGCAGTTCTGGTAAAAAAGGCAACCTGCTGCCCCCGTGCTGCCCCCGCACTGTTTAGGCAACGGGGGCAGCTGCCCCCACTGCCCCCGTGGCTCCGGCGCCCCTGTGTGGATGCACACTCAGAGTATCCTCACAAACACCAATTCACTTGAGTACATAACACCAACACACACACACACATAAAATGTCATATCTTATAAGTCTGATAATGCATTGATATCGAAGGAACAAGAATCAGTTCCGAAATATCACCAACTCGAACGGACTCGACCTCGTAGCTCAGTTAGCAGATCATTGGACTTGTATCCCAAAGGTCGCGGGTTCGATTCTCAACGTCGTCAGGCAAATTATTCAGCTTGCCCGGTGTGGATGCACGCTCAGAGTAACATCACAAACACCAATATCACCAACTCGAACCGAGAGAAGTTATGATTATGGCATTGGCAGCCAATAGGGTATGGAAACAGGCTTTCCGAATTTGAAAGAACTTTTAAACTGATCATATCTATCCCTCTCGAGAATATTCTCTCCGAAATTGTTCTTAATTATCTTTCAGCTTATTTGTTGAAATTTGAAGTCAACAAAATCGGTATATAAGCTGTCCGCCAACCTGCAATATTGCATGTGCATGGAAATGTACAGTACTATATGCTGCTCACACAAATTATTTGTCCAGGCAACCAATGGTGGGGTGCGAACTATACCATACTTTGCTAGGTTCAGTTCAAAATAAGGACCAAAACGTTAATTTAAAACTATGTCATTTGAAATATCTTTTTATTGTCAATTTAGTCGAATTGACTATTTTTGAAAGTTCAGCACCATTTTTGCCGGCACCAAGGCTTTCGCAAACTTTACCCAGCCTCTTTAGTAATTAATAGCGGCTTCAGAGTCTGGGTGAGCTGTTAGGCGCGCGGGGATTCTTGGGGAGGTTGCAGCAAGGTTCTCCCCTCACCGCAACCTGGCCAAGATTCCGCGCGCGCCAAAGCTCGCCCAGAACTCTGAAGCCGCTATTAATTACTAAAGACCCTGGGTACGAGACAGAACTTTTACCACAGTCCGCGTTCAGGGACGATCCCACTCGCTGGTGCTACAATCAAGAGACTGACAGAGTGCGTATCTATCGGTTTTTATTTCTCTTTATTTCAATTTGCGTTACAAAGTACAAAAACATTCTGTATCAAAATTATCAAGTCTGGTCTCAAATGCCCAATATAAAATTTAACTCTTTTATACTATTATTATTAGGCACCGATTCCAAACTCACCGCGTTGACGCACGCAATCAAACGTGGCAAAAAGGCATTTGAGGGCAGGGCGGAAAATGCCCGCGCTGAATTTAGAAGCTATACTATCTCCTAAACCAGTACAGGTATGATTCTGAAAATTTATCACTTTTGCTAAATATTTCTTGGCTTTATATGTGGAAAAATATTACTCCAAATATTAATATTATTAATTCGGCCCAAAAATAACAATTTACAGTCTAGTCGCGAACACCTACCAACACTACATTTCAGCATTTTGAATAGTTACAATAAAATAAGCACTTTTAATAAAGAGAAACTATTTTTCTATTTAAACTACAGCACGTCTTGCCAACCAGGCATATTATATTGAGCGCGGGAACTTTCTCCCCCCCCCCCCAATACCTAGATGGCCCAAAACTGAGCCCAGTGTGGATATTGTTGATTACAATCACGAACACAAACACAAACACAAACAACCAAATTGTGCAGAGTTGTGTCCATCTACATACTTACACATTATAAGGGTGAAGCCGATGAACTATTTTCCGCTTTCATGCAGCATGGGCGCTTTCCATTTGACGGAGATTCCGGAAATCTTGCTTGAAAATCAAATGGAACACGTTAATTTCTGGAACGATGTTTCGAAAATTTCGTACAATCTCTCGAGGTTGTCCACAAATTGGAAATTCCGGAAATTTAGAAATTTTTACACCATTAAAACATTTCCCAAACACGTTGCTGCCTTCCAGTCTTCCATGAGCAAAAACCGCCACCAAAACGGCGGGTTCTCGACCATTCCCGTGCCTCGAGTCTGGATTTATTTCGCCGAATGCTGCAAGAAGAGATTTAAGCGACAGTGTCACATTCTTCAAAATTAAAGAAACAGCATTCCAGAAATTAACGTGTTCCATTTGATTTTCAAGCAAGATTTCCAGAATTTCCGTCAAGTGGAAAGCGCCCAACAAGCGCCTTCCATTATTAACAAGGCCTGTCACGCTGTAGCGTTCCATTTTGCCACTGGACATTCCGGAAACGGGAACGGTTTTTTTGCGCTTCCCCGACAACGGCAACAAAAATTATGAGGTCAAAAATAAACCTGTGCCACATTATAGCATGCAGCTCGGGACGAGAGTGAACAAGACAGCACAACAACAAATATTGTGTTTAAATGGCACATATTATAAAGTACAGAAATAAAGTACAAAACTACTGTATTATCTAATTTATTTAATATATATTCATTTTCCTGTGCTGCACTAATGACAAAAATGCAACTTGTAATGCAATTTCGGCATGGAATATTATGCACATATCAATCCCCCCGCCTCCACCCAACAACAGGAGTGCTAGGATACACGGGCGATATATTGAGAATATGTTTCCCTAGCTTGTAGGGGATTTTGTCAATTACTTTGACATAAAAGATTCTCCAGAGGGAGCGAGTGAGTTTGTGATATTTTTCACCTAGAAAAATGAATAGCATTTCGCACACCCTAAAAACAGAGAAATCCTGGACGATTAGCCCCCCCCCCCCCAGTTGTTAGGGGCTAGCTACGCCTCGGGATACGTTTGTAGAGGAAGTAACATTGTTTGACGCTGTGGTCAAAACTGTTACTCCAAAAATATTTTAACAATGGTCAAAAGTTTGATCTGACCCAGGGCATTCTACATGAATTGACAATAGCGTATAGAGCCCTCGAGTGCGGAGTATTGACGACAATTTTTTGAAAATGTCAATAGCCCCTTGGCATGCCCGCACTTCCCCGTTGGGCCAAGACGTTGACAGGTGCATTATACTCAACCAACAATGGTTTTAAATGCAAAAGCGTAATCTTTTCAGATTTTTCTTTTTGTTTATATTGAGTAAGCGTGAATACAGAACCCTTTTTGGTGCAACAAAGATAAAAATCGAGTTAAACTTCTTAAAGTGTATATGACATGAAATTTCTTATTTTCTGAAATGAAAGAACTCTTTAAGCTGCAGTGCAACTTATTTTTCAGTTTCTTGTTTTTATGGTTTGTTCCCGAGATATTTCAATTTGTTTGATATGTAAATGAGTTTGAATATGTCCGCTAATTTATGACGTCATGTTGGTTGCAAGCTCTTCAAAATGGTTGAATATCACTGCTATCATCCAAGATGATGATTTCAAACTTCACTCACTGGTAAATGTGATGAAACACTGTAGAAAAAAGGGGAACAGATATCTACAATTTTTAGAGTTAATAGATTTATAACCAGTGTAAGTTGAGCTTGCAACCAACGTGACGTCATAAATTAGCGGACATATTCACACTCATTTATATATCAAACAAATTGAAATATCTCGGGAACAAACCATAAAAACAAGAAACTGAAAAATAAGTTACACTACAGCTTAACGAGTTCTTTCGTTTAAGAAAATTCATGTCATATGCACTTTAAGGAGAATTAGCTGTATTAATAAACAAGATTAAAGAGACGTTTCAACATCAAATCAACGCTCATTTAGATTGTAATCATTTCCCAATTTCCGAATTTCGAGTGGTCTTCTGTTAGTAAATTTCTACACAGAATAGCGGTTTTATGCCGAAATTGTGTTACAAATTACATTGATAAAATGCAGCGTGCAACAGCGTCAATTATAAGAACTTGTTTGTTCAGAGAACATGTCAACAAGATTATCCACTGACCTCAATTATAGCTGAATATGTTGCAGACACTTCAACAAAGTTATCCACTGACCTCAATTATCTATAGAACTTGCCAAGGTTTTGAAATAAGACATGCAGAAGTCCAAAAACCAAAACGATTGGTTAAAGTTTCCTAGTCAATGTTCAAGCCATCGGCTCCTTGGTTTAAAAGTAGCTAGTTAAAAATTGCAAACAACTTAAAGTGGAAGTCAAGTCCGTATGTAAACAAACGGTTTGTTTACATTTTGAACTGCTGTATCTTTTAAAAATATGATGTACTGTCTGAATATCTAACACCATTTTGGTTCGCTATGCTTCTAAATGAATATGAAATAGCTCTCTCCTTCGCAGAGGCTTACATGAAGTTTCTAGTGAAGGAAAAGTGAGCGCGCAAGGAGTGATGGGAAGAACGAAATAAGGGAAGCCTCTGCGAGTTAATGCAATCAATATGGCGTCGTATATAATCGTTTGTAGCGAAGTTCGAACAACCATCGGGGGGTGTTAAAACATGTTTTCGACTTTCATTTTCAGGCGTACTTGCGTATCCTGGAGTGAATTCAATATCAATATCTTCTTCTGTCCATTTGCATCGAAAAATATTGAGAAATTGCAAACGAATATCAATGGATACGAGCTATCTGATTATAGATATCCTCTTAATTGCAACATTTCTTTATAAAAATGACTCTATTGAACTTCGATACTCAGATTATGAAGATTCATTTCAATTTCTTTCACATTTCCGTCGATTTCAAGTTTAAAAAAAGGTCAAACAACTATTTGGTTCAAAAGCCATACTTCGTCGCATTATCTGGCAGAGCCTCCCCAACTTCATTTCAATCTTCCCATCACACCCCGCGCGCTCACTTTTATTCAGGAAACTTCATGTAAGTTACTTTGTATATACTTAAGGAGGCTCTGCGGAGGAGAGAGTGAAATAGAGTTTATGTTCAGAAAAATTCGAAACATTCGAAATTTGGGCAATGTTTTCATTAGAGGGTTACATTGTTATGAGCAGAACCGATGCGCAGAACGGATTTGACTTCCACTTTTAACTTAATTAGAACTACATTGAGATCAGTGGATAACTAGAGCTGTTCCATCGGTTCATCATCGTAACAATCGATTAATCGTACTGAATAAATAATTAACAATCGATTAATCGTACTGAATAAATATTCTAGCAGCCAAACAAGCCGTGTTTGTCATTTCATCACATCGACAATGCGATCTCCTCGTGTTTTTTTTTATCGTGCGCGCGCGGGAAAAAAGTTATTATGCATGTGTCATGCTTTGCACACGGCTGTTTTCTTGATTCTATTATCGTTAGATCCCACAAAAATCGAGTAATCGATCAATCTGGAGCAGCTCTAGAAATATCAGCTACATTGTAGGCGGAAATTCTGGTAAAAGTATTTTTACATTTGCAGTCAGCCAAGTTCTTTGGCCTCGTCTTTTCCCAATTTGATTTATCTACATTATTTATATCATTTCGTGTCTCATTACTATCTACAATGTATAATTTGAATAAATCCTAATAAATTAATTTCTTATCTCATTTCAGTCTAATTATTTTGATCGCAAATACATTGAACTAATTACTGTCTGGATTGCATAATTTTCTAGTGTATAAAAATACAGGTGTTTTGAAAACCTTTTTGTATTAAAACCTTGCGGATGGATGTATCAGTTCCGGCAGACTGTACATGGAATTAGACGCCGTGGTTGAGCCTTACATATTTGAAATATAGTTTGCACGTGTACATTTTGAGATACGTGTCAAATTACTTTTTACAGTTCATTATTCAACGAAATACCTCGTAAGGAAAATCAAACAAAACTCTCTCTAGGATTCTTTTCAACATGATTTGTTGAAATATCCGGTAGTTCTGATAAATTATCGTTTTCCGTCGTCAGACTGACGAGACTGCTTGTGTCTGTTTCATTTCGTAGACGATCGTTGTGATAAAATGATCTTTCAGTGAATTCTATTGATAGATATCCTTCCAGAGTCTCCACAATAGACAAAAAGGGTTGTCGCAGTCTGGGTTTGTATTGCCAGCAGAGCAACATTATTTCCATTCTAAAAATAGAAAATAACCATTAATACATCAAAATTATGGATAATAAAAACACTGGATAAGTTACAACGTATAACAACGATAACTTACAACGTTTGTAGTTTCACACATATACAATGACCCTGACCGAACCCCCAATTTTATACAATCCCAATAAGCAGTACCATCGGGAGAGGAGGGGAAATTTTGCCCAGGACCCCAAACACTCAAAGGGGACCCTTAATACCTGAAAGCGGCAGGACCTTAAAATTTCTTCGAACAAAACTGCTTAACCGAGAATATAAATCCTAGCTGCGTCATTGCCGGATCATATGCAATAAAGTGTATTATATTGTAACACACCGCTTCTTCTGTTTTACAATTTTTACCGCATAGCCCCCCCAGGGCGAATTTTGCCCCGGGATTCGCGCAACCGCTCAGTGGTCCTAGTTCATCATGGAAAGCCATTATACAGCAGGTACCTGGGTTTTGACTGGACTTTAACCGTTCATTAAGCGGTCATTTGGAAACGTACCAAAAATTTCATAATGTAAATGCTGTTGAAGTGACCTTTATAAAACGGTCACCTTTCACACAGTTCCAAACATAATTTTTCCTTGTTTTGTGGCTATATTAAACGGTCATCGATAGACGCCATGTAATCTGGTGATGCGTCACAAAAAATTGCAAGACATTTTGCTGGCCCATAACAAGGCTGAATAATTTTGTTGAGCCGAATCGAACTTAATATATATGGATACAGCATGATTTGCCAGCTCTGCTACCGAGTTGTGTCGGTCATCTGTGCCGCCAGCCCATCAACAAAACAACATACTGTATTTGAATTGTAATTGTTGTTCACAGTTCGCTTAACATCATGTTATTGCTCAAATTACTGTATCTCATTTTGTCTCCATTATTTTTTGCTTTATCATCAAAAATAGCACCCCCCCCCCTATCTAAAGCTAAAGATCCGCGGTCTGGCTCTGTCATTTTTTCATTTGTTCTCATGTTCAGTTGTTTTCATTAAGTTTCATAATTATAATTTAATTTGCTACTAATAAAATATCTGCGAATGGTTTTAAGTGGAAAAGAAGGAATACACTGGTATTTTTTTGTTTTCTTCGACCAAATGTGTACAACGATACTAATATGCATTTCAAATCATGCATTCCTTGTTTGTTTCATGTATCAGTACCTATAAATGCTATATAATAAGCTTTTATTGACCTCGCTTCCTCGGTATGTACAGAGAAATATCGATATTTCCCTATACAGACCTCGCGTTCGGTTAATAAGAAGTTAATAATACCATATCACTTTCAAAATATTAAATGACATTTAAGCTGCCCGGAGTATATTTGTTTATATAATAACTACAGTGAAACACGCAATTTGATTGGTCAACAGCCGTGCAGGATCAGACAATCCTGCACGGGAAATTCTGAACAGAAATTCTTGCACATAATTTTACAAATATACTCGCATTGTAAAGTTTCATTGTACGATACCTTTCGACTTTGAAGTAAGTTTCCAATTATTGAGACGTTGGTTTAGTTGTATGAATAAATTTCTGATCGATACATTGCTATTCAGCAAGTATAGCAACGCGTAGCGTTGAAATTCATTAGACCATGGCATGCAAGTACAACATCTCTCGCTTCAAAGTTGATCAAACGCTTGGCAATCTTCACATATTCAGCTCGAGAATCTTCAAAACTACTTTGGCTCTCTGTTTAGCAGGTTTTCCATTTCAAATTTCGTATATTTTATCGAAAAAGTCGCTGTATTTTCGCTGTATATTTTCGCGAATTTGCGATCAAATTCTGTTCACATATGTTGTTGTTTTCAATAGCGTGGAGTAGCGATTCTCTGATTGCTTAATTCACGAATGTTGTGAGAACTGCACATTTCATCAGTAATTTTAATCAAGTTAAGCGTCGTTTCACTGTAGTAATTATATAAAACAATTACCAAATGGTTTTCCCGTACAGGATAGCATGATCCATGCACTTGGGATGTTGCTCGACTTTCGGAAAGCGTAAAAATACACTCGCCTACGGCTCGTGTATTTTTACGCTTTCCGAAAGTCTCGCAACATATCCCTCGTGCATGGATCACGCAATCCTGCACGGAAAACCATTCGGTATTCCTTTAATAAGACCTGCAACAGGCGGTCACCATGTATTAAGCGATTAATTGCGAAATCCCAGAGCGTGAACACTAAATTTGAATGAATGTTCTAAGTTATCCTTCATCAACACTTACAATTTGCGTGGACAAGATTCAGGTATATCCATGATATTTCCGTCCAGAACATATTTCATGACTTCTTCATTCGACTTTCCTTGATACGGCTGTTCAGCTAACGTCGCCATTTCCCACAGAACAACACCATACGACCTTATTACACAATGGAAAAAATACTTATCATTTCTTGTCATAATTATAATTACTACTGGGTAATGGCTTTACATATAACCTTTCAACCTGGTTTACACGAATAAGATATACAGACAGGGGTATAAGAAAACTTTACCTTGCACGGACTAGCAAAGACAAAGGGGAAATAAATTCTTTCAGAAATACATTTTGTTTCGTCTGATACACTAACAACACTCATGTTAAAATTTTCCTAGTTAATCTCGAAATTATCCCATTTCGGTTAAATTAATATTCCAGGTTAATAAATTTCCTGGTTATTATAATCCTTTTCCTGTTTCACTCTAATTAATTTCAAAACTTTCTGCTCCAAATAACCTGACTATATGTACGTTAGGTGGATAAATAACCAGAGACCCCTGTTGTTCTTTTCCACCTATCATAGTTTGGCTATTTTAGCGAGAACATCCTGGTCAAATATTACCAGATTTATTTTATTTTCAAAATTCAGCATATATAGATACATATACTACATGAATAACAATAACATAATATAGATACATGGCGAACAAACAATAGGACACGAGGTCCCCTTCAAGGTTTGAACACCTATAACTATACAAACAATATTTACCCCTCAATCAATCTAACACAGAGAGTAAGCACTACATATTACAATTACAAGTAAGACGGTGTTAACACGAACATAAATTAAGAGGGTTACTGTGACGACATTTAGGACAAATCAACTTATAACTAGTTCTAATATTGTCCTGGGGCCGGTTGTATAAAACTCTTTATCACTTTTTTAATCACTATTTTGTAGTTAAATAGTGATTAACTCTCAAATACGCGATTCTTATTGGATGACGTTTCCACTAACTATAGTTAATATATATATATATATATATATTAACTTTAATCACGTTTTTATACAACCGGCCCCTGGTCAAACAGTACAGAACGTCTATTGAAAAAGTTCTTTAGTCTTTATAAAGATTTGACTTATTGTGCATACGTTTTTGAAGCCATTTGAAAAACTCGCAGGTCGTGTTTTATTAGGTCTAAAGCCACTCGCGCTGCGCGCTCGTGGCTTTAAACCTAATAAAACACTCCTGCTCGTTTTTTAAATAGTACGTAAAGAAGCTCAAGACTTGACATCATCAGGTAGAGTGTTCCACATTTGGACAATACGGGGAAAATAGGAGTCTCTGAATGTTGATGTTTTACGAGTCTTAAGTCTTACAGTAGGTACAAGTCGGTCGTAGAACGACGTGAAGTTGCAGTGCAGAATGACATATATATAATTATCTATCTTGTTTCATTAACCAGACTGTGGTAGGAAGTGAGATAAAAGAACCGGGAAATCTAACCAGGAATATTAAGTTCAGCCAAATCGCAAATAGTGTTTTTTTAAGGGAAATTTTAACCAGTGTGCTTGCAGTTTGCTTGACCGCGATCCAATGCTCTATCAACTGAGTCACGAGGTGTAGTCAGTTCGAGTGGGTGATATTTCAGAACTGCATAGGTTGATGTTTTTAATTTGTTTCAAAAACTTCGGGGAAGATAACTGTACTTTACCAATATTTAACAATTATTCGCCGAAGGCGAAGTGATTACCGGTGAATATTCACCGTAATCACTGAGCCTGAGAAGAATAATTGTTTTAGTATAAATTTTTAATGAATAAAACAAAATATCCAAGTTATCCAACTATAAGTTTAATTAAAATTCAGAAATAAAACTGTTTTCGACCGGTTTACGTTTTAGTGTTGCAGTGTTTCTTGTACACGCACGCTTTCAAAATGGCTTCCTGTGCGACTTTATTGCTTTATTACAAAGTTATTTTTCTCGATTTCTGCTTAGAATATAAACACAATGATGGAATGACTTTTTTACCAGACTTAGAATTAAAAAATAGTTTCTGTTTAGCATTAATTTGTTCAGGAAATGGCTGAGAAATTTGGTAAAATGAAACGTAAAACTATATCGTTCGAATTAATATAAAAGTTTTAATACACTTTTCACTTTACAAGTTTTAAAAACACAAATAGTACAATACAGCGAAAGGACACCATACAGCACAATGAAAACACGACATAGTCAAAAGAAATAGTATCGTACAAATTGAGATATTTATAGGATACAAAACAAAATTGTTTTAAAAAGAATACCACGGCTTTTCCCAAAAGTCGGGATATTTTTTGCTATTTCAGATTTACGTTTGAAGCGAATGTTTCGGAGTTTTAAATAAGTTTTAAATTGTCCGTGAATATGTTTGACACAGTAATATAATACTAAATCCTACCTTTCAAGTTAAATACGACACTTTGTGCTTTTTTTCTTTTTCTGGGACGATTTTTTCAATATTTTGTCGATTTTGAAACCAAATTTGCCGAATCATTTTTTTTGAAAAGCATTATTTACTACCCAGGTGGTAAATAATGCCTCAGATTTACTAGTCAAATAGCCAATCAGAACGCGCGAAAGCTCATTTGATATGCAAAATTTATACTAAAACCAAATATTGTACATTGCAAGAAATTCTTACCAAACATCCGAAGCACTGCAAAATATTCCATCTTTTAAAGATTCTGGAGCCATCCAACGAACTGGTAGGAAGCCTGGAGTGAAAAAATATTCTATAGGGTGGTGGCAATACATATCTACAGCAGAATGCCCAACTGGTCCACTCTGCTCTTCGCTTTGGTAGCGCCAAGTATACTTTCTTTTTAAGTCAATTTCTTCAACAGGCAGTTCCTTTTTAATTTTTCTGAAGGTTGTAATATCTGGTGTGTTCCAAGTATTGAAATTCTCAGGCGGAATGGCAGGATGACTTGCCTGAGTATGAGTTCTATTTTATAAACAGAGCCTGACACAAACTTTAATCTGGTCGCTATCCGCAAAAACGTTCCCAGAAGAGTTTATATTTAGTAGCTAATCAAAATATAGGGGACATTCAAGAGGATGTCAATTTCACACCGAATAACAGCAACAATCGAATTATGGTTGAGATTACTACATATATCACGAACAATAGTATAATCTACAAGAAGTTAAAAGTTCTTTGTCTAATAGACCAATCAGGTGAAAAGCCAGATTTTGGATTTTTTTTTACATGCGCCCAGACAAGGATTTTTTTTATGGCCCCCTTTTCATTTCCACCCACCCGCATTTTAGGAAGGGAAAATGGCCTGATTTCTCAATACTACATGCGCTTGTACAAATCTTTATTTACCTATTTTTTTATATACTGTTCCTATGTTTCTATGTTGGGTACGGGTGGTCAAACCATCGATAAAGTTAATGCAAAAGCCACTCTTTTATGGTAATGGTAAATAAATTTTGAAGGGACTTGTTATCATACCTTTTCCACCTTTTCGATAGTAATCTGTTTCGTACACATCCCGTGCCATTCCAAAATCTAATAAGACAAGAAAGCGGTTATTTTGTAAACTTGGAACACGTACAGTACATTACTTCGAAGGTGAATGCGCGTATACTAGTCAGAACGGTCAAATTCTTAAATGTAATACAAAGCGATCTGATGGGAAACGATCTGATGAAATTAGGAGGTCCATGTTCGAAAAATATGTGAGAAACCTGGGCTACATCTTTCCGCTAATACAGAGACAAAAATCCTGATCTGAACGTGTCAGTTCAGAATCCTGAGTGTCCGCTGCCCAAGGATATTAGTGTTCATTGAGGCAAGTTGTTCAAATTGAGACAAAAGAGCTTTAGAAATGCGCAAGGTATGTTACGTCCTACAAAAAGATTGAACTATACCTCCTATTTTGCAAGTGTGACTGCCAGACACCATGCAATTCCTTGCTGCAAGATCTCTACACAAATAGATAGCACGAATCGTTACACATGCTGGATGGCCAATAGAGGCCATTATGATCTATTTAGAGAGGCTGTGTGCAAATATATCATAATGACCTCCACACGCCATCACTGTTGGTGGGATCGTGAAAGAGGTTTACCGACATAATAAATGGAGAATAAGAAATTGCATTGGCACAAAAATTTATTTCTGGCAACAATAATAAAATTTAATTTAGTACACAACATTTTTCTATAGGAGTTTAATAAGTACAATACGGACGCTCAGCAATGATTGAGTCTTGCTACCTCAAACTGAGCTTTGTAATTATTAACATAATTACCAATTGCTAACATGACAGTATTTTAGAGAGATGTACCCCTATATGCAACCATTGCAGCAGCATAAAAATGTGAAATTGGTTATGAAATATTGGGAAGTGGGTGCGCTGTTCGGGAAGGTCAACTGAAATTCAGAAAGTGTACAGCTACTTTACATGCAATGGTCAGATGAATTAAAGTGCGTGCTATGAAAGCACAATTGTCGTATTATATATACAGTATACCTGTGAACAAATTTCCTGTCAGATAAGTACGCCATTCCATCAGCAATCTCAGCAGCCATTTGATACAGTTCAATATCAGTTGGTGGTGGAAGTGAAGGTTCTTCCTCCGCATCCTAGAAATATCATTAACGTTGTAATTATTACGTGTCTTCCGATTGGCCAGCAGCATTGGTCAGCATTATGCTGCAGGTTGAGCCAGCGGTATGTAATTTTACAACAAGCGGCTGCTTTACACAGACGAATAAAGACAAGAAATAAAACATGGACGAACCACGTTTTTTTATTTTCTTTGTGAAAAAGCAAACTTTTTTGCTGCTAGGAAGAAAAATATATTTTCAAGGCCTTATATAAACTACAACCTATTTTATTGATATCACAGATAACGAATGTAATGATAACGTTTGTGTCATCTGTGCTGCAGTAATTGACGTAGAATAGGAAACTTAAGGAAGCGACGTTTTGTCACCTGAACATTTGTGAAACTAATTTTGGTGGCATTTTACACCACAGCGCTCGTGTAAGAAAGCTAAAAGCTTTAAAAATCGTATGTTTTGTGACATGTGTTGACGATTACCACAAACTGACAAAACACTTTTAATTAATCTACTCCCCGATCGTCAATCTAACGTGCGTGTTCACAAAACGTCGGTTGCTTAATTAAGCCCCCTGATATTATTCCCATGCATTAGCGCATTAAAAACATTTACAAAAGTGAAAACACTACCTACCCTACCTAAATTTTCGGATAGAAACAGGAAACCCAGGTATTGTTTTTTTGCCCGGTGAAAATAATTTTATACTTACGGGTCTTCGTTTTCTTAGGAAACTTTTCAGATCCCCATTTTCCATTAACTCCATGATTACCAATACTGGATCGCCAGCCGATACCACGCCAAGTAAGCGTAAAACATGATTGCAGTTGAATGCTCTAAATTGTAGCAATATACACGTAGAAGTCAGGGCTTTCAAAATAAGCCGGCGGTTACTATGTTTAGTACTTGAAATATCAATGTCCTGGGTCTAGTCGCGCAAATCCCATGTTGGAGGGACAAGAAATATGGCAGCACACAAAAATTAAACTTTTAACGTAAAAAGGAGATATTTCATTTTTGGTCGTCTACAAAGTTGATTTTGATAGTATATATACTTCTATATACTCTTTCACATATTTTATGCTTATCACTATATATTTTGCCCCTCCAAACGATCCCAGAATGTACTGTGATCTCTTTTGGAAAAAGGCTAATTCTGCTCTCCTTCCTCTACTCTACTCTACTCTATGCTTTCAAACAAAACTATTTTTCCTCCACTAGTTCTACTTTATAGCCTGGTTATTTTCGTAAACGACGTACTATTTCGTTAAAACTGATTTAGTTATTTGCTATCTTTTTGAAGAATGAAAATAATGGTACATTAGAATTTGGTTACAGAGCTTAGTTGTGTTGCTATCTAGCCTATCTAATCAAGTAATCAATATATGCACTAGTTAATTTGGATGACTTTAAGACTCCGTAGACCGCTCCCCACAACCGCCTACTTTACAAACACAGCCACCTACTCAAAACTAGGGATCCAAGGATAGTGTGTGAAGTTTCGAATTGAAAAAGACACTGCAAGAACTATATATGGTCGCCGACAACCTAGAAAAGCTGATGCCTTACACTACGAAATAAACAGTTACCAAAGGCAATTCATCTCATTATTTATTACACTGACCTGAAAGGTCAAGTGTCTTAAATCCCTAGTTTTCTGTTTTCTGTTTTTTTCGTCGTCGAGAAATCGAGTTTGCGTTCGCGCATCGCAGGCTCAGGGTGCAACGATTGATCCAAAATGCCATCGATTCTTTGACTCCACGATTCATATATAATAGTAAGAAGCTGGTATTTATGTACGTAATAGTCGGCTCATGTCATGCTTGCGGTGCATTTTTCGTTTATTAGCCCATATATAGACCTATATGGACTTATACGCACGCGCACAATTCCGAACTCCAATGGTGACATATTCAGTCCAGTTTCAAAATGGCGCCTTTTGGCTGAGTGATCAGAAAATATTTCACACAGTTTCGTTGAATTTTCAAAGAGTTGTGCCGGTTTCCTATGGATTTTACGTTGTGTCGCACTCTGAACTTTCTTGCGTGTTGAACTAATATGTTTTTCTTCGTGTAACGACTCGAAAACCCCAAAGTTTGGACCCAGCGAATTTTACAAGGACAAGTTAAAGGTTCGACAGCTTGACTTTTTAACTAATAAACAACCGTCTATAAATATACGTTGTAGAGTCATAAGCATCCGTGGTGTAGTTGTGTTAATTTTTTGTCGCACTCTGGACTTTTCTGCATGTTGAATTAATGTTTTTATTCTTGTATTATACGACTCTAAAATTTGGCTTTGAAAATTTGGCCGACCCGGCGGATTTATGCAATCAATATGTTGTATTAAACGACTCGAAAACCCCAAAATTTGGACCCGACGCGAATTTGTACAATATAGTGGAATATAAGCAAGTACAAGTTAAAGATTCTACAGTTTATTTTGATTTATTGTATGGTACTCATTTGTCTAATACAATAACATTTAGTTCACAAGGGCAAGTTAAAGGTTTGACCATATTAAAATACATGTATTCAAATTCGCGCAATAGCTACTAGAATTCGCGCAAGTAAAGATAAAGCGAGCGTTCAAAATACCAAAAAGAACTAAGGCATTTATTGTATGGTTCTCATTTGCCTAATAGAATTACATTATTACATTTAGTTCACAATATAATATAAACACAATATAAAGGCTATCTTTAAAACGGGGAACGGGGGAAGGGAACGGGGAAGGGAACGGGGAAGGGAACGGGGAAGGGAACGGGGAAGGGAACGGGGAAGGGAATGAGCGGGGAATGGCCGGGGAATGAGCGGGGAATGAGCGGGGAATGGCCGGGGAATGACCGGGGAATGGCCGGGGAATGACCGGGGAATGGCCGGGGAATGG